TCCCAAGAAACTGCAATTTCCCTCAACGAGTCTCAAGCTAGAAGGGAAGGCTGATGCCTGGTGCCAGCAGTGGGGAGGGGAGGGATTTATCCCCTGGAAAGAGATTTCACACAGTTCTGACAACTTGTAAGACCATCTTGCAGGAAGATACTAGAGCTGAGGAAATGATGATGGGCAGGGCCACACCTTGCCCAGGACTACTTAGCTGCGCACACCTCTAGTCATCTATTTAAACCTCATGTCAGGACCCTGAAGATGGACTTAGGGTGGTTTCACTGGACCTCTTTATTTGTTCATCTCTCCAATATGGCCTCTTTGCATAATCTTTCTCTACTGGCATACTGGAGACAGGTGACTAAGCCTAGGTAACCAGCACTGCCAGGGCCCAGGCTGGACCCTAACAACTCCAGGAATGTTCTGGCTGTCTCAGAAGCTCATCCCTAAAGGAAGGAGCCCTGGACTATTGCAGCATGGCTGTCACTAGTGCAGTGTCAGACAGACAACAAGCAGCAGGGAGTGACTGTAGGAGCCCATAGTGAAGACTGTACTTTTAGGGCCTGATTTAAAAAAGGATTTGTAGGTTACAAGGTGGTTAAGGGCTCAGGAGGTCATAGGTAGGGAGGAAACTACTATTATTATCTTGCTAAATGGACTCGTCGAACTGTATTCTAAATAGTTACATTTATACTACTCTCACAGTTAGTTAGAGAAGTGTCTTTTCTGGGTACTTGGCAATGTAGACTCTGAACTGGACAAAGTGTCCGGGAATAGTGACTATGGAATACTCTGCCCTACATGGACATCTATAGGAAGCCCTCCCACATTAGGCTCAGGGAACATCGGGAGGACCAGGAGGAATATAAGAACTCTATCAGAGCCAGTAGATGGGGAGAAGAGCTCTCTTGCTGATATGACATAGCTGTTGCACCATGAGCTTACTGTAGCTATGGCTACCTGGACAAGACCCGCCCAAGGTCAAGTCATTCAGCATTCCAGCAGGCAGAACGAGACTCAGTGGGTTACTAAATAAAACAAAAGGAGAGGATACGAAGGTGGAAGGGTTGTATTGGCGTTGTGTGGATTGAGAGTAGGAGGGTAGAGATGGGGGAGGTGGGATCAGTGTGTAAATATATGTGTAAACACACAAAACTGTCAGGTGCTCCAAATGAGCAAGTTGGTTAGAGCAAAAGTTGCAGTTCCACAACTCAATTCAAGTGGGTGCATTAAGACAATGGTGGAGGGAAATACAGAAAGAGAGGCACTTCTTGAATCTACAGGTTCTGGTCCATGCCAAGTGATGCTGAGTTTAGGTCTTCTTGGTATCTGTATCTGTTCTGATGCCAAACCCAGAAATAAGCCCATCTCTTTCAATAAAGACTGGAAATGCAATAGATGTTGCCCACATGTGTGTTGGTTAACTTTACAGAGCAAGTCAAACAAAGATTGTTTTCTCATTTTGTCAACTGCAAGAGAAACCTGGTGTGTGATATGGAAGTAACAGGTCTCAGAGTTCAACAAAATAGGAAAGTTATAAGACAGCAAGAAAGGAAAGGGGGAAAGAAACTAGACTAACAAACAGACCCTCATGGCTGTATTACCCCTATTTTATTTCCTCTTATTTGTGTGTGAGAGCATGTGTGTGTGAGCATGGGTGTGTGTGTGTGTGTGTGTGTGTGTGTGTGTGTGTGTGTGTGTGTGTGTGTGTGTGTGCATGAGTTATCTCTACATGCAGGTGTCCACTGAGGACAGAAGGCATGGGATACCCTGAAGCTAAAGTTAATGTCTCCTGTTAGCCTGATTTGGGTGATGGGAACCAAACTCAGGACCTCCACAAGAGCAGCAAGCATTTTTAACTGCCACACCATCCTCTCCAGACTCTTGTCCTGAATTTTAATACTACTGAAAGGTAAGTAACTGGCTTTGGGAACTGTCTCAATTAATTTGTCATAATTGGCTCTGTGTACCAGCTCCTAACACAAATGCAAAGCAGCATCCCACATGGAGACCAGGAGTCAAGAGCAAGTGTGTTTAACACACACACACACACACACACACACACACACACACACACAGAGAGAGAGAGAGAGAGAGAGAGAGAGAGAGAGAGAGGAAAAGAGAGACAACATAAAGTAACATGCATTCCTTAGCTCTCCTCAGACATTCCACGATTCACATGCTAATCAAAGCATCACATTACACACCACACATATGTACAATGTTTATCAGTTAAAAAGGAAGACATGGGGCTGAGGAGATGGTTCAGTTGGTAATACGCTTGCCACATAAGCATTTGGATATGACTCCTAAGCCACAACATTCAAAAACCACAAACAAACAAACAAAACAACTGGAAGTGGTGGTACACCCCTGTAATCCTAGTGTTGAGGAGACAGAAATGGGAGGATCCCTGGGGCTCACTGGCCAGAAAGTCTAGCCTAATTGGTAAGTTGCAGATTTAGTGAGACCCTATTTAAAAAGTAAGGTCGACAGCCATGAAGGAAAGCATATGGTTTTCAAATGCACACACACCTGCAAACAAAACAAAACAAAAAACTAACCAACCAGTTACCAAGGGAAGAATTGAGTGTTTACATGACTAGAAGTCATATCAGATGCTTTACCATAAATCAAATTAGACTGGTGACTTGATTCTAACTCGAAAACACAACAGTATTCGAATGTCTCCAACACAACATTCGAATGTCCTCAAATAAAGATAAAAACAAAATACAAATACGTCCCTTACATTTTCTGAGTATCTTCTGTCGACTAGGCCCTCTCTAAAGCCATTCTGGTGTAAACCTGGGCATCCCCGAGCCATCTTGATGACAGAGAGAGGTCTTTAAAAGCAAATAAATGTCCAACTGGAAGAACTTGAGGAAACAAGTTTAGGCTGGGTCACAGAGATTAAGAAGTGGCCAAAGAGCAAGTGTGACTGATGTTCTTGGGTAGTGATCTTTCAAAAGTGACCATCCCTCCTGCAGCTGTCACTAGGGATGTGGTATGATAAAATGGGCCCCATTGAGAGTCATTTCTAGGGGCTGATTGTGATAAAGGGTTCTGTAGTCCTTGCTTTGCTTACCATTGTAATGAAAATCCTGACAAAAGCAACTTAAAGGAAGGATGGGTTGATTAGGCTCAAATTTCGAGGACATAGTCCACCACCATGGTGAAGGCATAGTGGCAGCTGGTCATGAGATGAATGATGGTGCCAAGCTCAATTTCTTCTGTTTACTCAGTTGGCGACGCCAGCCCACAGGACCACATCTAAGTTATATCCTCCCTCCTGAGCCCAGTCAATGAACCAAGAGGCACCTCTCCTAGGTGATCCTAGAGCCTGCCAAGATGACCATCAGTGTTAACTACCAGCTGTCTCTCCATCTTTGTGGCTAATTAGAACCATCCTTTCTTCCTCCCTGGTATGAATCTCTCTTTGCTTCTTTTTCCCATTAAACTCTTAAGATAAAGAATGCCTGGCACAGTGGCAAGGAAATGAGCTCTCAGCCGTTGCTGACAGCCAATACTACAACAGAGGTTGGTGTGCACTCACTGAACCAAATCGGACAGAAAGGAAGAAAGAGACTGATCTATGCCTAAGGCTACTGAAGCCTGCACACACCTCAGGGAGAGAATAAGTACAGGCCTATGAGACCAAGGTCTATACAGACCAGAGTGCTGGCATGCCCCTTGGAATATCCTCTCCAGACAGATCCTTTCCTCTGTCTTAGGCATTTATGCTGACTCCATGGCAGTGCTGTTTAGGGCAGTCATTTCAAAGGAAAGGAACCCATCACAAACCCTTCATTCTTGTGTCTTTTAGTTCACTGCACTACTTTCCCACATCTTCTCAGTTTTGGCCCAGGAGATGGAGAAGAGGCTGGGTAATCCAAGCAGAATCTGACATCTTTCATGTCCTCAGCCCTCCCCAACCTGCAAACCTGAAATGAGCACTGCTTGTCAATCATGGCCCATGTCTGGCCTCTGACTTCTTCCATCCCAGGGAAGGGATTTTCAGAGGAAACTTTTTGAAATTAAATTGAAGAATCTTTCCCTCGGGGCAGGAGAGGTACTTCTAATTGAGTTCTTACCAGGGTGAAAGTCACCCACATCCTTAATCTCCTAGCAGGAGGAAATAAGGTGGCTTCAAAGCCAGGAATCAGGAACAGGCTCAAACAAATGCTGCAAAATCAGTATCTCAGCAACTCAGGAGGAATATCCAGGCTAGACTGTGCTTCTGATTTCTAGGAGGCATTTTAGTGTCATTAGTGCTGGGGTTCTCCTCATTTCTGGGGAACAACTTAGTCTGTTGTTGAAAAGGTCTGCAGCATGCCTCAGTTGTAGGTCTCCATGCATCTCTGTGGCTTGGGATCAAAGCCCAGTGCTGAGCGAAGGAGGGCTGTGACTTGTGAGTGTGTTAGCTACTTTTCTTTGTAACCAAACACCTTACAAAAGCAACTTATTGAAGGAACAGTTATCTGGGCTCTGAGTTTGAGGGTCTGCTTTCTCAGTCTGGGCCCACTACTTGATGGATCTGAAGATATCTGGTAATTTGTGCCCAAAGACCAGGCTGGCAAGATGGTTTGGGATAAAGGTGCCTGCCAGCAAGCTTGATGACTGAGTCCCATCCTTGGGACCCACATGGGGAAGAGGAGAACCTCGTAAGTTGTTCTCTGTCCTCTGCTTATATGCCATGGCACACATGTGTGAGCATAAACTAAATAAATGTAAAAAAAAAAAAAGGACAAAGGAGAACAAAATAAACAAAAGAGTGATGAAGGTTGAAATCCTTATATTCTGTGTATTTTACTGAAATGGGAAAGTGGAAGCAAACAAAACTAACAGCCAATCCAGGCAGGCAGCTCTTCCTTTAAGGGAAAGAGATATTCATGAGAGTGTGGGGAGAATGATGAAGACAATCACAGGGCCTTCTTATCTTTTTCAGCTTTTCTAACTCCAGGCTCAGTTACAGTGTGGATGTACATGTCCTTGTAGAGACTCACCTCACTGAGGTAAATAAAAAAGGAGCAGGAGGTGCCGTCCACTCCATAGTCTGCGTAGCAGGGATCCGAGCGCCACATGTCTTTCATCCACTGAAAGGAGAGGAGAGGACATGGCTGAGGAGAGGGTGAGGGGACAAAGGGGATAGTAGGGTGGGTGGCTCAAGTGGTGGACCATGGGTAGAGCAAAGCCAAAAGTCCCTGAGCTCAGGGTCAGGTGACCAGACGCTCAGCATCTAGAGAATTGAAGTAGATGCCTGTCCACGCTGAGGAGCTCTGTGCAAACAGAGAGCAGTGGAGGCAAAGGGCAGGAGAGTGTTAGCAAGACCATGGGGGTCCTTCCATGACACCCTAGGGAGGTACCATTGTTGAAGCAAAGGGCCTGCCTGCAGTGCAGAACACAGGCCAAGTACCACAGAAATGTCAATGAGCACTTATAGCCTCCCCCAAAGATACCAGGGAATGTTCCTAGAATGTTCTCACCATTCTTAATGAATACTTGAATGACAACCTTTCTCTGAACACCATTGGCCAGGAGTGGTCTCCCAGAGAAGGCCAAACAAATATGATTTTTTCTTTACAAAATAATGTAAGACAAAACAAAAAAGGTCAGGAGTTTAGGAGTTCAGCTGCTGGTAACAGCAGCTCTGCAAACTGCCAGGCCAACCTACTGCATGAGCTCTCAGCCAGTAAGAGACCCTGTCTCAAGGGACAGATGGATGGTGACCAAGGAATACACACAAAGTTGTCCTCTAGCCTCCATACATACCTGTTCACCTGTACAGACCACACATAAAAGGCCAGGCTGCTGCTCAGTATGGAGCACTTCCTAGCATTCTGGAGAGCTTGGGTTTGATCTCAGAGTTAAGAATAGCCAACTGTCTCTGGGCACTCATTTACGTATGCAAATATCACATTTATACCACAATCTGGGCATGGATCAGGACTCTGGGGATCAGGGAGATGGAAGGATTCTAACTAAGGATCATCTGGAAGTGAAGGACTGGGAAGAACAGAGTGGACTCCTGGAGTGGTCCAGGTTCTCAGTGTGACTAGGGCGAGCCTCTGCTGACCCACTCCATGGCAGGGTCAGAGCAGAAAAGGGCCATCCACCAGCAGTATGGAAACACCTGGGAAGGATCTGCTTCAAGACTCAACTCTTTCCCTTTGGAAAGGGAAAGAGTTGGAGGGTGATGGGATGAATAGGTGTAGCTTCTGTCTTACCTTGATTTTCCCCTCGCAGTGGGGGTAGCCATCCATAGGAGGCAATACACATTTTTCTTGAACTCCATTAATGATATCTGTAAAGAATAAGAAACAAAGGAAACCATGAGATTCATGGTACAGATGCCCAATATCACAGTCTGCACAGCCTGAGAGAGAAGCTGAGATAGAGAAGTCTGTGCAGAGGCAAGGCTCTGATCCATGGAGCAAGCCCTTCAGCTCCAGACATGACTGCTGCCATAGCAGGATGCTGTTGCTGGGGCACAGGGGCATGCCATCAACAAGAAGGTTCCTGGGATCTTAATAGTTTTGAAATAGAAAGGTATGTCAGCATCTATGAGCTCCATCCTCTCTTTCTCCTCCCTCAGCCCCCGTGTCTGCCTGTGTTCATGTTCACGGGGGCACACGTGTTCATGCATGTGAGGCCAGCAGACAATCTCACGTGGCATTCCTCAGGAATGTAATGTTCTGCAGTTTTTGTCTTATTGTTTTGAGATATGGTCTCTCAATGACGTGGAACTCACCACGTAGGCTAGGCTAGCTGGCCACAAGTCCCAGGGTCTTTCCTGCCTCTACTTCCCCAGTGCTGGGATATGTGGCTTCCTATCATAGTGGGGATTAAAGAGATCATTGTAAGCATTTCACCATGGTCATCATCTCTCCAGACTCTGCAAAGGTTCCTTTTAAGAACCCAATGACCTTGACTTTTTATTTAGAACTGAATGGCAGTCGATTGGTTAAAGGTACCTGGTTATCTTCCCATCACTGTTTTAAAGGGGTAGTGGGAAAATCGGACAAAAATGGGCTTCTAGAACTAATCCAAACATAGGAACTGTGGCCATCTGTCCTCCCATTGGTAATCAGAGCCAAATCTCCCTGCTAACTCTATTGCCAACAGTAAGGATAAGCATCTTCAGGAGGCAAGGCGACACTTTGCCCCTGGCACCTCACACACACTTCCTCTCAAAAGATACAGGGTCTCCAGCAACTGCTTTGGGTGTACAACAAGGTAGTGTTTCTCCTTGTATACCTGATAGGAGCACACGGCCACCTTATCAGATGGCCCCTGCAGAATACACCCACATGAGTTCCACCTCTGTCCCAGTGCTTGGCATCAGCCAGAAGCCAGGAATCTCTATATTTGGCCTGGGAGTGCAGCTCTTGCCAACACCTTCATTGCCAGCTTGGCTTTAAGAACCAGTAGTAATGAATCAGAGGGAATCAGCCACAGGGGAAAACCATCTCCCATTAGCAATGTCCTCATGCAACTCATTCTCTGCTTGGCAAGTCTTTGTCTAGGCCTTCTTCACATCATGAGAAAAGTGAATTTCTAGAACTAAGACCTAGACAGATGTTTTAGTAACTTTTCTGCTGCTGTGATAAAACATCCTCATCAAAGGCAACTTGGAGAAAAAAGAGTTTATTTGGCTCACAGCCCATCAGTTAAGGGAAGCCAAGGCAGGAACTCAAGCAGGGCAGGAATCTGAAGGAAGAAGCTGAAACAGAACCACGAGTCAACACTGCTTACTGGCTTGCCCCTCATGATTTGCTCCGCCTTCTTTCTTAAACAGCTCTGGACCACCTTCCCAGGGTTGGCACTGCCCGCATCCATCATTAGTTAAGACAACACCCATAGGCTTCCCAACAAGCCAATCTTATGGAGGCTTTTCTCAATTCCCTTTTTCCAGATATGCTGAGGTTTGTGTTAAGTTGAAAAGCACCAGTTAGCACACCACATATTTTAGGCAGAAGATCTTAAGGTCACAGGAAGCTCCCTACTACCCAATGGACTGGAGAAGCCAAGGCTCCCTCCCACAAGATCTACTTGCAGCCTCACAGGGTACACCTAGGTTGAGTGTCCCCTGTTTGAAATGCTTGGGACACTCGGCTTCAGACTTCATGTGTGCACAGACTCAGCATTAGGCGGTGCATTCCTTAGAGAATATCCAAAATCATAAATGTTCCCAAATTAGAGTTTTATTTAGAAATAGTTTTATCTTTATAATTCATTTAAGCTCTCATTCATGCATACATTGTATGCTGTATACACCCCCCTCATGCTCCATCACCCCCCACTTTTCTTGCCTACTTCTCCTATTTTCCACTTTGTTGAAGACAGTTTTATTTCTTTCATATCTTATATGTATACATATACACTTAGGACTTCCTGTATCCAGATGAGATCTAGAACCACAAATGTGAGAAAGCATGGCATATTTGTGAGACCAGCCTAATTCTCCTAACACAATTCTCTCAGGTTGCATTCTTCTTCATAACATGCCATCAACCTTTACGGCACTTTGAAAAGCATGTTTTTGTATTTTCATTGTTTTTATGGGTTTAGTTTAAAGAGCTCAATGCATCCTCAGCATTGCATTTTGTTTTTCAGGAGACTTCTTAAAATCATATTTGTTGACCCTCTGCTTTTTCCTGATTCATAAAACTGGAGCCCGGAGAGATGAAAAAGATGCTCAGGTCAATGAAGAAACAAAACCCAAACTCATTAAGCCATGAATCTACCCCATAGGGATTTTCCTTTTGGGTATATGCATGTGTTTGAGTGTGAGTCTGTGTGTCAGTGTGAACGTGTACATGCCAAACATGCCATGTGGAAGTCAGAGGACAACCTCAGGTTGTTTAAGACAGGATCTCTTATTTGCTGCTGCATATTGCCAGACTAGCTGTTCCCTGAGCTTCTGGGGATTCTCGTGTCTCCACCCCCAGTCTTGCTGTAGGAACACAGGCATTATAGACATGCACTATTGTGCCCAGCTTAACATGGGCTCTGGGGAGTGAACTCAGGTCCTCATGACTGTGTGGTAAGTGTTTTGTTCACTGAGCCATCTCTCCAGCCCAGATTTTCCTTTTAGGTCAAGATTATTTCCACCCAGCTGTGTCTAGGTATTCATAGGCACACCACTATAATCACCTCATTCTTGTTCTGCATGGGAAATGTGAGCAGTGAGTGTGGAGGAGTAAATTGACAAAAGTATTATTCTGCTTGGACAGGCACCTTCCCTGGTCTCCTGGACTTGTTAAGTAAGAACCTAAAGCTACAGTATTGCCTGTGTGAAAATACTATGGAAACAAACAAAAAATTACATGGAAACACATTGCCCACCAGCAGGCTGAAGAGATGGCTCAGCATGTAAAGCAATTGTTGCACAAGAGTGAGGACCAGAGTTCAGAGCCACCAGCCAGTAAATCACATGATTAACTACTGAAACACAGATTATGAGTGACGATTCCCATTCAAACCACAAGCGTGGCCTATGCACAAAATCCTCAAGAGCCTCTTTCCTCACTCAAGAATTGTTGCAAAACTTTCTAAGGACTCAGCCACCCTTCCTGGGCCAGGTACGGAGATCTGTAATCACACATGATCTCACTCAACATCAAGGTAACCATGGCAGTAGTCCCTGGGATGCTCAACATGAAACACAGCATAGAGGTATCACCCCATCATTTACTCGATGGCTGCATTATAGTCTCCCTACAGAATGGATGTTCATTGTGACTGTCTTGCCACCCACACAGTCATGAGGACCTGAGTTCACTCCCCAGAGCCCACTCACAGTGCCTGTGGGTGGAAGGTAAGGGACTCAGATTACAATACTTTAGATTTGTGCAACCAGAGAAGCTTGGGTATTTGTAAATGAATACAACAGGGTTACAGCACAAACTTGTGTGAATAAATCCTCACAGCTCTGGAGCTGGGAGGGAAAACGGAATCTGTAATGTGATGAGGAAAAGCCAGGTCCTTCCTCATAAATCTGCATCACTTATCTCTATGTAAATGACACTTTCTGTAAGCATATACCTAGTTCCTTATACCATTTTTCCCCCTGCAACAAAATGTTCTTCAGTATTTTAAGTAACAACAGAAAGAACATGAAATATCCTACAATAAATGGGCAAGGCAGTCACTGTTATAAATTGGGAGAATGCTAGCTTTATATTTCAAAAACATTTTTTAAAAAAGTTACACTTATATTCATATATTCATATATATACTTATATATATCCCCAGAAAAACAGCTTCTCTACATAATATTTAAAAAATAAGATATAAACTGACAGATTGAGGCATTCTCTGCTGTCAATTCCAATGAGACTATGAAACCAGGAAGTCGGTGGAAAATATTAAAATGCAAGGTGATACTGGCAAACACTAGATGGCATTCTCAGGTTGCACTGTAGGTGATTTTTATGACTACACTCCTTTTGTGATACACAAGAAAAGGCAAGAGCCTTTCAGAGCCCTGTAATCCTCACAGGCAGTTTCCTGGAGGAAGTGAAGCTGCCTGTAGCTGTCCTCGTGGACCAGTGGTGGTCCCTGAAGTCTGCACCCCTACATTTTTTCAGCCCCACAAATAACATTTGTTCAATTTTTCTTCTAGAACAGGCCTGAATAAAAACAGTTCATACCCTTCTGCCTCCTCTTATCAAACTGTCGAAGATGTTCAGGCCTTGGCTTTTGCTAAATAAAAAGGTAGAAAGATTTACTCTACACATGTGTGTATTTGTATTTCTTACAAATTGGGGAAGAAAAGAAAATAATACGGAGTTAGAAACTAAGGGAGAAGATTGGCAATGTCCTTAAGCTATGTGAAACATAAATTCCCTTGTCTCAAGCCTTCATTGAAAAATGTGAATCAACCTAAGAAAAGCAGTTAAGGCTGGGTCCACTTTTAGTCTCCTTCAGTATTCAGAAGGTAAAGGCAGAGGCAAGTGGATCTCTGCAAATTCTAACATGATCTACCCAGGTGAGTTCCATGGCAGCCAAAGCTACATAAGAAGATAACCCAGCCCCTCCCACAAAAAAAAAAAAAAAAAAAAAAAAAA